GTTCTCACAAAGTGGAAGATTATTTTATGTGTTTTCATTCGACATCCGCTTGGGAGTTGACTTTATAAAAAGCCACACTTACAGAAAATACTCCTTTATACCACTCTCAGTATCCCAATTTTGGGCTCCATGAGTACCAGGGCTGATGGAGTACAGCTTATGTTTTCTTGTGAAAAAAAAAAGAAAAAAGAATCTCAGCACGTTATGATGTTTCACAGTGATGAGCTTGTCAGGGAGTTTCCATCCATCTCCAAAGTTAACAGTCCCCTTGCAACTTGGAGCAATTTTACTTGAGTTGCCTGATTAATGATCACTTCAAGGCCATTCTTCATGATGTATTGCTGCTTATGTTCACATCATATCCCCAGATGGGCCTCAGACTTTGGCCAAACAATCCTGTTACTCTATATTGTCTCCCACCTACTGATGACAATGACAGTTGTGAAAAGCAATATTCTAAGTAATGACTGTAGTACACAACAAACCTGGAAACAAATGTTTAACAATAATACCTTTCTGGTTAAAACAAATTTTCAATGACTGATAAAACAAATCTCCAAGTTTCTAAGTATTTGCAGGACATCATTGAAATAAACTGATGTTCTTCTAGAGTATCTCCCCTCCCAGTCTCTGGCTGATTTTCTACAATATAAAGAAATACAGCAGAGGATTTCCTCAGCCTGCCATCTTGAAAACCCACCTTATGTTTAAATTATTAGCAAATACCTAATTAGCATTTTGTAACTCTTGTCAAGATTGGGCTAAATTAGCTCCAAAGGGTGATGATCTGAATATCAAAAGAAAAGGAAAGAAATCACCTGAATGGTTGGTGAGTAATGTTAATAGCTACGGAGCAATTCTTTGTGTCTTATACTGTGCGGATTTTCTAAATCTGTGTGATTCATTCCTCATAGGAATCCTGCACGGTCTATACTATTGTTCTCATTTTATAGATAGGAACAATGAGCTTTACTCATCAATTAAATGGCAGAGCTAGGACTTAGCATCTGTCTTATTACACTTACATACCTCAAGAGCTATGGAGAACAGAATTTCTAAACCATTTCCCCCCATGGTTTGTTTAAGTTTCTGGATTTTCTTTCTTTTAATTTCTTCTGTTCATCATGATTAATTAACAGGCATATTAAGCATGTAATGTAGAAATATACTGAAACTGTCTCCTCAGAATAAGACCATAATAAACTAGGGCCGGGGATTTAGCTCAGGGGTTCTGACGCCTGCCTCGCAAGCACAAGGTCCTGAGTTCGATCTTCGGTACCAAAAAAAAAAAAAAAATTATAATAAAGACTATAATAAACTGTATAATTTTTAGAGTACATTAAGTAAGTCAGGTGTTACTGGAGCCTTAGTATTGGTGAAGCTTGTTTCTGCCTTTCTGTAACTTTAAAACTACCATACTTACAAACCCTTAGACTCTAAGCTTAGATGTATACGACAACTAGAACAATCTCAAATATATTTAGCTACTAACTGTGAGGAAGATTTTAATTCCTGGTGTAAGTTTATGAACAATCCAGTAACCCCAAACACTTCTAGGAAGGAGAAGGGATCATTTTTCTTTTTCCATTCTGCACCTTTTCTTTTTGCTTATTCATCATGTTTTACATAAACACACTGAAGAAAGTTGTTATTAAAGCCCTCCTCAGGCTTCTTCAATTTCAGTTTTAAGCCAAATTCAAAATATTCTGGCAAAAATTAAAGGCAACATTAGAAGTTTTCCATAAATGTTAAATGAAGCAAAAAAGTGATAAAACCATAATGAGCTGAAAAATGACTAATAAGCATTTCCTCCTATATTTTTATCTTTTTTGTAATCATAATTAGTGATTGTTTTGTTTTTAAAAAACGACTGGCTCAAAAGTCCCCTCCTTTTGCAGTCTGCATTGCAATATTAAATTTAATTTGTTAGAATTTTATTATTTATTTTTAAAAGTGTGAAGGCTTACCAGCACAATAGTAAATAAAATATAATATGTTAATATTTTTGTATTTGCTTATAATGTGAAATAGACAATGTTACCTATCAGAGATCCCATGCCTTTACTACATTCTGCTTGTAATTGAAGTCCCTAGTTCTCATTTTCACTCTTAGAGAGGAACTAATAAATTTGTCCCAAATAAGGCAGCAGTAAGAGGAAAGAAGCCATATGTAGGCTTTTGGTAAATATAAACCCCTGCAGTTTACATCTAAAAGATGGTTGAGGGACCAGCACAATGGAGGTCTCATCTAGCTACAGTGTCCTAGATACTTACATTTAGATTTTTGCTGTCTTTATCCTTTCTTCTTCTATTTTTCTATTGGTATTTATATGTGCTGCAGCTGGCCTAATGTTAGACCCAAAAGAAGGTAGAATTGCAACTTACTTATGAAAGGCATATGGCAAAAATATAATCCCTTTTATTGTGTAGTGAAATGAATATAAAAATGTGTACAAATAAGGTTTTATTTGAACATTAAATTTTATTGTGATGTAGAGTGTATTTCATTAGACTGTCACCTGATTTCCATGTAAAATGAGACTGTGGAATGACATGTTGGAATATTTAAACAAAGAAGTCCGAGGACAATTTTTCCAGTGTATCTCTTAACCTACATTATGAAAAAAAAAATAGGCTTTGTGGTAATAATAAAGTATTTATTGACCATTTGTCCATAAAATTGCACTGTCAGTATATAGTATTTCCATTAATTCCAATTTTTTCAGAGCTATGAAACCATTTATTTGTTTTTAAGAGTTAATAGATAAAGGCTGGGGATTTAGGTCAGTGGCGCTGCCGCCTGCCTCGAAAGCACAAGATCCCGAGTTCAGTTCCAGTACCAGGAAAAAAAAGAAAAAAAAACAGAATGGAGAAAGAGTTAATAGAGACTCCTTCGAGTCATATGGACCTGGGATGTTCTGTAAGCTTCCATGTAATCATGATGGGACTTCAATATTCATGTTTTAAGGTCTATTTTCTCTGACTTTGAATGAAATTAATCTCCTACCAGCAACTTATTGTGAATATTAGAGTTATGAATGTATGTCAACAATAGCCAGTACCATTTTTTGGCACTTAAATTTTCAATAAATGCTGTTGATATAAATTATGACACTGGTAATTTAAAGAGATGTTTTCATTAACAACCACAGTGCACAAACTAGCATCCCTTTTGCTTTGGATATTAAAGAATCCTTTCCTGTCCCAGGATCTTTTCACTGGTACCCCCTCTGCATAATACCTTACTCCAGCTTATTCAATGGCTGACTCATTTCCATCCTTTAGGTTTCATCTCATGATGAAGACTTAACATGACCAACTTTACTAGAGTAAACCTCCACCCTCACCTTCAGTCACATTTCCTGAGTATCTTTCTCATTTGTGTTTTTCTCATGCCCTTGGCAATGTAAGCTTTACAAAAACAAAAAGAACTTATCCTTCCTTTTGATCTAAAAAGGAAGATCATGTCTAACATAGTGCCTAACTCAGTAAATGTGAATGAATGAATGAATGAACTGCATAGATGTGTAAAGGAGAAGAGAGAAAAAGGGAAGCAAAGAGGTATAAGGAAAGACACTGGAAGAAAAAGAGTAAGAGTTGATAAAAAAGTAATAAAGGGGGGGTGAGAGGGAGAGGGAGGGAGAGAGGGTAAGAAGCAACTTACAGGGCCTAAGTACAGGTTTATATTTTGGGCATAAATATTTATGCATATACAATTTTTAAATTTTAAAAATTGCTCAAAAATTCTCCTTTCCTCTGTACCTCCCTCTTTGTCTTCTTCCCTTTCTCCCCTTTGGCCGGTTCTATATTTCACTTTATCCACTTGAGACACCTGTGGGATTTTCTGCAGAGTGATCTCTGTGAGATAAGAAATACTTTCTATAGGGTAGCAATACTTTAGAATTGGTGCCACCACACTTCTTGTAAAGGGCTTAATTCTGATATTTTTAGTTTTGCATGCCTTCTGCTCTCTTGCAACAACTTAGCTCTACATTATAGTATGAAAACAGAAATAGACAATACATAAACAATCAGACTGTGTTCCAATAATGCTATATTTATAGACACTGAAATTTGGGTTTCATACAATTTTCACATTATGAAATATTATTCTTACATTGATTTTGTTTAACGAAATACAACTATAAAGACCATTTTAAACTCGCAGTTCTATAAAAACAGGTGGTTGGCTGGACTTGGCCCACTTTGCTGATTCCTGAACAAGTTTAATGGTAATCTATTTTAAAAAATGTTTCTCTTTTCCAAGATGAACTGGCATAGGGGTAGTGCAAGAATAAATTTTTGAGTTCTATAGAGAATAAATTTCTGTTGGTAGAATTCAGACTAATTTGGCAGAGAGAAAACAAGCACAATTTTGAGTAATCAAACTTCCCTGAACTTCTACAGTAATGTTGCACCAGTGCTTAATTGTCCAGGGGTAAGGCTGTGAGTTCTAAGTAGCTTTCATTATTGCCTACAAGTGCCCAGGTCCAGTTATTATCAAGATACTGTCTTATTTATTCCTTCATTTCTTTAGACTTTGGAATTTAGCATCAGTTACTTCTAGGATGATTCTGTGAAAGCAAGACAATTGAGGACACTTTGTTTTTTTGGGTTTTTTTGGTACCTGGGATCAAACTCGGGTCCTTGCTCTTGCGCAGCAGGCAGAGAAACCACTGAGCTAGATCCCCGGCCCTATTGAGGACACTTTGGACGAAATCACTCCACTGTATAAACTGGAGAAATAAAATGTTTTAAATTTCAAGTAATGATTTCTCTAAACTTTGTGAATTTAATATGGGTAAAGAATTATTGGGGAAACCATTTTAAAAATACTATATGATATCATTTTCTCTCAGTAAGAAATTTAAAAATTAGTTTGAAATTATTATATCCTTATTAGTGTTATTTTTATAGCTATTACTATTTCCAGCACTTCCAATTACTTTAAGGTAATAGAGCTTTCCAACTCTTTCATAACTCACCTCTCTCTTAAACAGCTGAATCTTCTGTTTAAACTTCCATCTTGGGAAGACGGTAGTCAGACTGCAGTGAAAAATCAGAATGAAGCTCAATTTGAAGAAAAAGCAGTTAAGTATTTCATAGATAGGAATATTTAGAATATTTGAAATTTAACAGTCAAATTCTATCTGCTTTATTTTAGGACATACAGGATAAGCTAGTTTTGTTATGTGAACCAGAAGCACATCTAAAGGAGTTGTTGGGTGGTTTCTTCCTTCAGTTTTCTTAAAATAGTTTCCTTTTGATTATCAGAGAGCAGACAATCTGAGATTAGTTTTAAATCCTTTAAATCATCTTGTCTTTCCCTATCTGTGCATGTGTTTTAGGAAACAGAGACTAATAATGCAGCTTTAATCTAAGTCAGATTGAATTAGGAAGGAAGAAAAACTAATGGAAGCCAGCCAGATATATTATTTTAAAACTTTGTATTTAGATCTTGATTATCCTTACCAGCAGCCCCCATGGTGTAGAATGCTGAGAAGTAACTATACACATAAGCGCATGAAAGGAATATGGGAATCAATGGTGAGAGTCTTTTAACATAATGTTCCTTGTGCTTTAATCCCTGGAAAGTATTACAAGTGACTCTGCAGGTAAGTTAGGATGTGGATTATCAGAATTATCCAAAGGTAAGCATTTACTTCTGGAGGTGGACTATTTGCTTGTACCATTTAATGACTTGGCTGAGCTGTGTGACATGCTTTGTAGTCAGCGATAAATACTATAATTCAATATTCAGGAGAAAGGACATTGGGCTAAAGTATTCCATAGTTTTCTGTGGGGTGTGTGTGTGTGTGTGTGTGTGTGTGTGTGTGTGAATATTCCTGCCCAAGAAGCCCAGGAGGCACGTGCCCTCGAGAGAAACAAAGATGACAACTCAGTATAGACACAGTATTTGGGAACTGTCAGATACACACTCGTTTGTATATCTGAAAATGGAAGCATGCCCTGTTCTCCACAAATTCTGACACAGACTGCTTATAAATTGTGCCATAATCACAACTGCATGATTGGTATGGTTTGTTTAGGAGTTCAGACCATATTTTTCCAATTTATGACACACAAGTATGGATACATATTCTATTTTTTGAAATGTAAATTCTTGGAAAAAGTATAGGATGTGTTGGTTTCTGAGTTCCTAGCTTTCTTCTCTACTACTTACCTCCTGTTGCTATATATCTTTTGCAGAAGTTAATCTTAGAAATTACTTTGATATCATTTACGTTGCCTCTGATCACCATTGTAGTCTTTATCTACAAATAATTGTTTAGTTGTTTTCCTCTCTAGGTGTCACTCACTGAAGAAATTCTGTTACCTGCTACTAGCAGTTCCATGGTGGAATTGGGCAGTCCCAAGAGAAAAATGATTTTATCTTTTTTTCCCTTTCTTTTGTTTGTAGTCACATTCTGTAGACACACACCTACATATCCACTGTGTTTTAAAGGGAGAATCTTGGCATGATTCTTGATTTTAAACAACAAAAAAATCCCATTGCTTTGCAATCTGAAATACAAAGTAAATATCAGATTTTTTAATGTTAGTTTTTAGTGTTCATTTTTAGTATTAGTTTTCATAGTGTTTCAGAGACTTCCAGAAAAACTCTTACTTCTCCTTTCAGGTTGTACTTTCCAGACTGTAATCTGTTCAGACAAAATCAACAAAGCTCCATTCACCCCACTTGCATTTCCTACCCCATAAATCCAGGCACATATCCCATTTCTGCATTTTCCTTACAAATCATATCCTACTTCAGTATAAGTACAAACACACCCTGTAAGGGTTTTTTCTGCAATATTTAGTTTTGTTATTTTGGACCCTGAAGCAGATAATTTGAAAAAGGCACATAAGCAGCTAGTGAAGTGAGTTTTTAAAAATTGACTACAGGTAGCTATTGGTGGCTAAATTAAACACTAAATGACTGGGAAAACAGTGCAAGCTAAAGAAATACCAATCCTAAAGCTTTTTAAAGTCAAGAATAACTTTGACTATTAATAGGTAGCAATGAAATCTCATGTATAAATCATTGATGCATTTGGTGCATTCAAAGCCAACTCATGCCGCTGTAATGCTTTTTTAATGTTGCTCCATTGAGTGCCATTTTATTTCTTCATTTTGCTTTAATTTATTTTAAACTACTGTATAAAATGCTTATTTTTTTGATGGTCAATAAAGGCCTCCTTTCTTTCTGTTTACTATCTTGAAGTTTGAGAACAAATATATTTGAAGTTGTTTCTATGTCCTTTAATTATTAAAAAATGACTAGCAGATTATTAAATGTCATGGGATGCTATGGGGACATGCCCAGAAAAAAAAATATCCATGCCATTTGGCTTTGATTCTGTATCCTTTATGTAGGAAGTAGCAGGTGAAGTGTGTGTGGATTGCAGAGTTGACATTGGCAGAAGACCTTGCAATGGTCGCTTTAGATGAACCTGAGCACATTTTTCTTCCAGAGCAGAGGCTTTGTGCTTTTAGAACAGCATGGGACCAAGTCTTCATTGTCGATTTTTCTTTTTAAAAATTTTATGTCCATCATGATCCTTCAAACCTAGAGAAGTTTTCAAAATTATTTTATACTCTTAAAGCTTCTTAGACTTGGAAAAGTTAGAGATTCTTGTTATATTTTTATGTTAGTGTTGTGCTTTTCATATGCTAATAATGTGTTTGAAGCACTTTTTTAAAAATACTGTGTTATTGTGACAAAGTCACTAGACCTGTTCAACTCTATTTACCAGAGGCAGAAGAATTCTAATTATTTAGACCTATAAGGTTCTAATTTATCTCGAAGCTGTGATGGCTGAGTCAGTATGTCTAATTGATTGGTTCTGCTGAATCAAATAAAATGCTAATGATCAAGTATTCAGATACCAGCGATCCATTTCATGCTCATTTCCTAACTTAGCCTGCACGTATTTGCCCATCTCCAGTGATACTAATGAATTGGCCATGGTTGATTTATAAGTTCTAATGTACACCCCATTGTGACAAGGAGCAAATGAATATTTATAGTTCAAGGCAGGTTACTAACCTAATCATAAAAAGTTAAAAACACATTTTAATAGTAGATAATGCTTTCAGTATCTCCCAAAATACAATTCTCCCTACTTGATCTTTCAAGCCCACAATAAATTAAGACATGCTGTCTAGCCACATTATTTTCATTAGAAATTATATGTAATACTTATTGATAAGAATTACCTACAATATTGACACTCTCTTTTTTAACTCAATAATTATGTAGATTACATGTGCAATCATTTAAGAGTAAACATTAAAATCATTGTTTGTTGCCATTGTAAATGTTTTTAGCTCTCCCTCACTTAGAATTAAATGATAGTGGAAAAGGGAATTCCTAATCACAGGAAAACAGTGGCAACAATATATGCTTTTTCCCCCCACTAAAACTTTTTTTTTTCAAAATGTTTGAAGGAAATTTCTCCTTTGGTTAACCTTCCACTCGCACTTAGAGTTCAGTATTTTTACTTCTACCCTGGACTGTTAAAATTTTTTCATTCCTCCTTAATGGTTTTATCTAGAAACATTTCATAAAGGAGAAATAGATTGGCTTAATAAAATAATACTTTATTTGTATAATAGTTTTACGTCTTATTTTAGATGTTCTACTTGGAGGAAAACTACTTCCTATAGGAAAGCTTCAGAGAATCTGCATTTTCCTTAGAAGTGTATACATAATTGTGTGTGTGTATGTGTGTGTGTGTGTGTGTGTTGTGTTGTATATAATATACTTGAGAAGCTATGGCCTCACCAGAACTCTTAAAGTCCATGGTTATGATTAAGAGTCACCAATTTATTAAACTCACCTGAGATAGCATGCTTATTGTGATGCCTTCATTTGTTGTGGAGGTTGTCTTTTCTCCATATGCCTCCACCCCCTTTCAATGTCCTAACAGTCGTGTTCTTTCCTGGATCCAGGCTAGGAAATTGGGGCAGGCAGCGGTGAACCTTCTCGGGGAAGGGTGTGTTGAACCCGTAGGTGGAACTGAAAGATAAAACCTGTTGAAATGAAAGTTGAAAAAGAAAAAGAAAAGAACCCCACCACATTCCAGCTCTAGATAAGCTAGAGAAGGCTGAGAAAGATGTAAACTATTTTGCTGTAATTGTTCAATCTAGAACATAAATGGGCATTTTTTTCTTGGTGGGTTTATCAGAGCCATAATATTGGCTTAAATTTCCTGTTTTAGTAACAGTAATATGAGAGAAAATATGTAGATATTTTGAGACTAAGAATGTACAATAGCCTACTTCTTTTATATACAGATGCATAATAACTAATCTGATCTTTAAAAAAAGATTTCAACTATAAGCAATTACTTTTTCAAAATACATTTCTTAAATTTTAAAATCACATAAAAAGTACCAATAGTTCTTTTTTATTTCTAACCTACAACTAATACTTAAAACTTCTGCAATTTAGACAAACCTTACTTAATGATATCAATTCTGGTCTCTTATTAGCCATTGTTGATTGACAAATTGAATTATTTATAGCTCAATGAACTGAATTTCCTATTTCTCTAATTCCTTTTTTAGAAAAAATATTCATTTTTTTTATTCAATGCTGTCTCAAAACCACTTTGTAAAGAACTAGGTTATAGACAAATAGAAGAAGTAGATTTTATTCAAATATTATTTATTAGGCTTGGTATTTTAATCAAATGGTATTGTTTAGACCATTTGAATCCATAATCTTATAGGCTATGTACATATTTCTTTTAATATTTAATAAATATTTAAGTAAAACAAATATTCTTAACATAAATTATGGTAATAGCAGTTTATCTTTGCCCAATACTAAAGTTAGACTTAGACAGAATTTAATTCAGTTTTACTGTTTTGACATCATGTGAAGTCATCAATTTCAAACCAGCTCTATGTGGGCTCTTAAAATATGCTAATCCTAAATAAGATCAGTCCACAAACCCATGGTATGGGGAAAACTTAAAGCCCAAGTAGGGGCTGTAAATATTTTGAGCCTTTCAAGATGGTTCATATAAACTGCCCAAAGGCTGTTTCTGTCCCTATAAGATAGCTAATGAGGTTCTCCTCAATCTGCAAAGGATGATAAAGCATTGTCAAATGGTTTTTATTCCAGATGTGTTGTGAATAAGAAGACTGGTAACAACAGATCAAAGCTCCCTTGGGGCATCATAGGGATTTATTATAAAGCATTCAAATGTGACAGCACACAAGTTATCAATGAAATAGCAGTTATTTTATGAAAAGTATGGGGCCAAGAATGAGGACCTCCCAAGTATGCCCCCAAAAATGCCACTAAATAATTCTTTTGCTACAAACAGCCTCCTTTGGGCTGATTTTGCATCGCATATTTATCTAACACGTGCCCACATAACCAAATGTTTACAGGATAGAAATGCTAAACTCAGTTTCCCAGTCTCAGGGTTGGAGGTCTGGTTACAGAAGACCTCAGAGGTGAGCCTTCTGTTTTAAATGCTGGGGAGAGTCCAGTTCCCTGTGCTCCTAAGCATTTGTAAATGCAAGTGGGTCCCTGCAGGGCCACAAGAGATCTGAGCTGAGTCCTTTTCACACCTCCTCTACTTCTTATGATAAATGATTAATTTGATTAAACAAACAAAAATCCAGTTTCCACAAATTTCCTGCAGTGTTTTAAAATAATAGAAAAGAAAGCCAAATGGCCCTAACCCTCCTAGATGAAATGACTTTTCATTTTTTTTAATCTTTAGAACACTTTCTTTCAAATTCAGAATTCTTTTAAAACTTATTAGTATGTTTTTGCAGTACATAATGATTTCATTTATCGTGGGGAGTGTGTATATGTACACAACACATCTTAATTCTTTTCTTTTCTTTCTTTTTTGTTTTCTGTCCTCTTCCTCTCCCATTCCTCCCTGTTCCCTTCATTGGTTTTGGTTTTTGGACACAGGGTCTGGCTATGTTGGCCTTGAACTCCTGCCTCATCCTCCTGAATGCTAGGATTACAGGTGGAAACTGTTAACTGTTCGCTCTGGAGGAAATTGAGACTATAACTACTGAGTTGAAAATACAACCATTTTCTTATTCATTGAGCTTATGAAAAAATTTTTATCAGTGACCCCTTTTAACACCAGTATTACTGTAACCCTAGTAAGGTGCTGTAGATACTGAGGGCCTATCTGGGTTCAGGACTGGCTGCATGTGAATGCTTTCTTACTATTTTCCTGCCTTGTTTTCCATAATGATGTATCTATTAATTTGATTTAATGAAGTTATTCTTTTATCTGAATTTTACCTTCCTTTGAGATCACATTTTTTACTGTCTACCTAATGAGTATGTTATCATTTTAATATTACTAATATTCATATATTCAAGTTTATCTAATATTTATGTATCTCTAAAGGTAATTTTAACAATACAAAAAAGGGTAAAATCTATTACTTTCAGTACCTGGACCTGAATTTATATTTAATGTTAAATTGAACCCTAAAACCAGATAAATGAGAAAAAATACAGTGATTCTTTCATAGCTATTTTCTGTTCTAGAGATCATTCTGAGTAGTTTTCATTTTTTATAATTTTAACATAAAGTATCACAACAGAGAGCAAATAGAAAACCTGCAAAATTAGTAAACATGTAACAATTTTTTTATAGTTTTAGTTTTATAATTATATATTATGCTTTATTTGCAGGACCATGTAAATGCATTAGAAATGGTAAGTTGGGGCATTTTCTTTCTTCTTGTATTGGAATTACTACTGTCTCCTGAAGTGGACTTCAGGGCACACCAAAGAAAGCAGTTCCAAGAAGCATTTGTAAAACTCCTTCTAAGATTAAAGGGAGAAATGAGCTAAACTATTTCTAAAAGGTATGTGCATAAAGACATTTTAAATGGGGAAAAAAATGAGTGTATTTAAGTGGTCAATGCTTTCTCAAGACTGATATGCCAAGATGTACTAATTTATGGAAAACATAATTAATTTAAATATAATCCATACTTCGTTTCTGAATTTCACAGTTACTAAAAAGATTGGTTGATAAGTAACTGAGATCAGGACGCTGTTTATACTTTGAAATCTACATTTTCAGTGTTCACATTGTTTTCTTTGTTTTCACCAGCATCCAAAAATGTAGTTAAAGCCTGATCATCTTTCTTCTGAATGATCTTACTTGTAGAAATCTAGTGTGTGGAAATAATTTTTGTGTGCACAGATGTAAAGACTACATGCTTTCAATATTTGTTGGAAAGTTATTTTAATTAAAGAAGAGAAGCAAATTTATTGTTTGGCACTGAAATAATAGGTAAAGTATGGAATTTCCAACCTGTATGCCAGAATTGTTATAGAAAAGGCTTATAATTGTGAATGAAAAATAAATTCAAGATATAAAATCATGATAACCTGGTGACATATAGGAAAAAAACAGAAGAGTTTGCAAATTAATGTCTTCATTACTTTTTTGTTGCTGAGAAACAATATGGTACCTAACTCCCACAAGTTAAAGGAGGAAAGGTATATTTTGGCTCCTGGTTTGTAGAGGTTTCAGCCCATAGCTGGTTGGCTGCAAGGCAGGGCAGACTGGCAGAGGGGGATGGCAGTGAAGAATTGCTCTCAGCATGGCAGGCAGGAAGCAGAGAGGGATCAAGGGAAGAAGGAGAGAGATAGACCCATTCAAGGCACACCCGCAGTGACCCTCTTCCCCCCAACAGGCTTCACCTCCCAAATCATATTTAGCTATACATTCATCATCAGTGGACTAATCCAGTGATATATATCACACACCCATGATCCCATCAATCATCTCCCGAAAGCCCTACCTATGAAAGCATGAAGCTTTGGCGGGATATCTAGATAAAAATAGCTATAAACCATCATAGCTTATCAGACAGGAACTGTGGTTTGTGATATCATTATTTTCTGTTTTTTAGAAAAAGTTTTATAAAATATAGCTATTGTCCTTTTTTTTTGGTATTAGAGATTGAACCCAGGACCTTCACATTGAGATATATCCCAACTATTTTTTGTTTTGTTTTGTTATTTGAGTTAGGGTCTCCTAAATTTCCCAAGCTGGGCTTCAACTTGGCAATTGTCCTGTCTCAGCCTCTTAGCTATTTTACTTTTATAAATATTTTTGCAATAATAACTGCAAATTGGAAGGACATTAAAATAAATTGTGGTATTACCTTATGATGAAATACTATGTAGTTATAAAAAGTCATGTCTTCAAAAAAGTGAAGATCGCCATGCTGTTATGTGGAAAAAATATATGAAGACATAAAAATGTGATGCAAATACTGAATGTGCTTATTTTTACATTTTAAAATGCCTTTAAGAAAATTCATAAATACATCTATACATATCTATATATAGACATATGTAGATATAGATATTTGTTTTGTGGGGATTGGTTGTTGTTGTTTTTGAGACAGGGTTTTGCTGTGCAGTTCAGGCTGCCTTTGAACTCACTATGGCCTTTAACTTATGGAGATCCTCATGCCTCAGCCTTCCAAGTGCAAGGATTACAGGTGTGTAATCTAATCTCACTACACCCATCTTACATAAAATACTAATATTATGTTGAGAGTAGTGATGATTCCTTGTATATTTTAGTGAGCAAGAAAAAATTTAAAAATCCTTTAAACAATAAGGCTAGTAAATAAAGTGTTTATTTTATAAGTGTGAGGAATGGAAAGATGCTAACAGGGCTTCTTTTTTTTTTTTTTTTGGTACTGGGGATTGAACTCAGGACCTTGAAATTGAGAGGCAGGCAGTGGAACCACTGAACTAAATCCCCAGCCCCAAGGGTATATTTGTGTGAGCAAGTGACTTTGACTGATACTGTCCAGACCTTTCTAGGCAAATAACTTCTTCCTTTGTTTTAATTGAGCTGTTTGGAAAGTACACTGACCTTCTGAGTTTCAGTATAATGACATTGTAGGTGAATAAAATGTTTAGTGTTTCTACATATGTATTTTACTTACCCTTAGGAATGGCTTGCCAGCAAGATTTGACTTGAGAGTTAAATACTGTTTTTAAAAATATGAAGCGAAAACAGAACCTTTGAATTTGAGGAGCTGAATTCAGTGTACAAAATGACATTTACAGAACATTTAGGAAATTACATCTTTCTTGAGTCCTGCATCTGTAAAAGTCATTAAAATTAAAATAACTTTTCAAGTTGTGAGAACTGAAAGTACATGTGAAAATATATAGGACCAAACAAACCTTAGAATATTGCTATCATTTTGAAATTGCTGCATACTTAATCATATGAACTATACCAGTGGAATATCTCAAAGTAAAAATTATATCAACAAAAATCTATAACCCTATTTGTATTTGTCTGTCTTTTTATCTGTCTAATATCTTTACTAACAAAGTAATATACAACAGAATCTTAAGTGTCTTATTTTAAGGATTCCCCTGGGATTAAAAGTAAAATTAAAAATCATCATGAGAAAGATAAAACTGATTAAATGGACTAGTTTTTTTGCATTAGCAGTTTTCTCAAGACAGTTTTAATTTAAAATAATTACCACAAGTAAAAATTAAAATGCTCAGTAATGATGTTAATGTTCAAATATTATGAAGTCCTTTGGCTTCACATGGCATTAAAAGGAGCAGAATTTAATTCTAGACTGGTAGACTATTCAACTGGTATTTTATAGTTCATAAAATCAAATATGCTGAAAGCATTCTCAAGATCATTTATTATTCTCCTACAACTCAGCACTTAAGCCATATGAAAGTGTTGGTGTCCCGCATTTGGTGGTGTTGGTATTAAGAGCACATAAGGTGTTGCCAGGGAGGTCTATCATGGTGAGATACATCTGCAAGGGTTTGAAATTTTATCCTTTCAGCTGGGATATTTAAAATTGATTGCTTTAAAGGTTCAGATAGCTATAATGCCTAAGAATAGCACATTCTTTACATCATAATGAAGAACTTGTTTTGGCTTCCTGCCAGTTGTTCCTGCATTAAGGTCAAAGTCTTTTGTATCCAGTTTTCCTCCTATTCAACTTTTTCTTCTCCTTCCCTTGGTAGCAGGTAAATTTCTTGGATTAGAAATTGCATTTTACTTGCATATGAATCCCCAGATTTTGTCAGAATTCCTGATAGATCATGGATATTCAATAAACATTCGGAAGTAGTTCATCATGAATGCCCTGGTTCAGTCCCTAGTACACACTGCCAAATAAAATAAATAAATACATAAAATTAAATAAACATTTAGAGAATAAATTTTGAACTAAATGTATCTTACCCTCATATAATTCTGTAAATATAGTTATAAACTATAGTTGCAGAATAAAATTCTCCAGAAGTACAGCAATTTATTCTTTATTTTCTAGACATTCTGGTTTGTACTATATATTATTTGGTATATCACAAACCGTCTAATCATCCTCACTAAAGTTGAACATGCATTTTCCTGTGAAAGGACCACTATTAGGCAAAAATACAGCAAGTCAATCCTCCAATAAAGCTAAATGATATGAGCTGGAGAAAAATCTTGAGAACTCCCACTCATGGGCTGTTGCTGGGACTTGGCAGTGGGTATTTACTGGGCACTATACAGTATAAGGTACTGTGCTGACAGTAGGAAGGGGAGAAGAGGAAAACAAAGTATGATCAGTACCCTCAAAGAACTTGTACTCAAATTGAGAAATCACTTATATAAAAATAAATTAATGATTTAAGGTAAAAGTATACTATATAACACATTCATGAAATAGCTTTGTAGAGCTCTTATAAAGAAAAAATAATTAAAATGAGACATTGTAGTCTAGGCTTATCATGAAAATCATGGATTTTGTATTTTGAGGACATAATGAGGTTAGTTTATCTGTGAAATATGAACAATCAATAATGTCAGGTAGAATGAGCCAGAGAAGGCATTCCACATTAGCAGTGTGATCAGAATCTAAAGTCAGAAATTAACAAAGGATGTTTTAAATAATACTTTTTACAATGGTAAAGTTATGATTCTCATATAAGTAGAAAATGAAATCCTAACAAATATACTTATTTAACTCACTAATTAATGAAAGAATCAGCAAAAGTAAAACTGACCTAAAGGAACACTCAAAGACATACACATATACTGTAGAAAGACTAAAGAGTGATGAAATTAATGTCAAATTGAAGCAAATTTGGCTTCTTCCACAATGAATGAGGGAAATCAATTGAAACTCACCAGACAAAATTTATTGCGTGTCAGCAAGAGCCATTTGCACTGCCATCAGTTACCTGCAGACTCAGAGTTGTAAATAACTCAAAGACAATGACAGGTAAAGCAATCTCAGAATCAGAAAAACTTGGATGGTATGCTAGGAAAAAACTAGTTTTTTTATTGAAAATACCTAGTAAGTTATTGTTTTAATTCAAAATCTTCCGTATTCCCCCCCCCATAGATTCATAGACAATGTACATAACAATTTAGGAAAATAATAAGCATCTGGCATTTTGAAAATTAACCAAGGAGTTTGGACTTTGTATTAGTTTCTTTTCGCTGAAAACCCATACCCAAAATGTGTAACTTAAAAGATAGGTTAGGCCTGTTTTGGCTCACAGTTTCAGTGGATTCAGGCTGTGGTGGATTGGCTCCAAGGGAGAAATGACATGGCGAAAAGCTCTGGTGGAGGAATGGTACTCAACCCACATCCAGGAAACAGATAAAAAAGATGAGTAGCCAGGTACAGAAATACACCCTTCCA